TACATTAGTGTGGTGTATTTAGCATAATTAGTGAACCAATATCATTAAATCATTAGTAGCTAAAGTCCTGACTGCTTCAGTTTCCTTAGTTTTTACCTAGTACCCTTTTTCCTGTCCCAGGATCCCATACATTTAGTGGTCATACCTCCTTAGGCTCACTGAGAAGTGACAGCTTCTCAGACTTTCTGTGTTTTTGATGACCTTGACACTTTTGAGTATTAGTATTGGTCCGATATTTTGTAGACTGTCCCTCAGTTACAATTTGCCTGATGTTTTCTCACGATTAGACTAGGGGTTTTGGTTTTGCAGAGGAACACCATAGAGGTAAAGCGCCATTCTCATCACATCATGTCAAGAGCACCATACTATTGATATGACCTATCGTTGTCAATGTTAACCTTGACCGCCTGGTAATAAGGTTCTATATATACGTAAGTTACTGTAATTTTTAGTATAATGGAACATCATTGTAATAATTTTATGATGTAATGCAATAGACTAGACTCCAGACATTTGGATTCTAGATCCATTTCTGCCACTAAATTGGTCTGTGAGCTTTGGCTGGTCACTTCACCTCTCTGCTTCTCAGAGTTTTTTGTTGTTGTTGTAAAACCAAAGGGTTGCTTGACTGAGCATGCCAATCAGAACATATACTCTTTTGAAATATTGTTTGCATGTTTGTAGTTACTTCTGAAATGTTCTCTAAACAATATGTACTTCTAGGTTTGCAAATTGTGGTAGCCAGCCTCCAAGGCGTCCCCAGTGAATAGGGTTGATCTTTTGTGGAAATGATGGTGTGAGGTGATAACTTCTGAGGTTGGATAACGAAAGACCTGACAGCTTCCACTGTGTGCTCCATTGGATCACTTACTCAGGGAGAGTCAGCCACCATGTCATGAACACTCCAGCAGCTTTATGGAAAGATACATGTGATGAAGGAACTGAGGCCTCCTGCCCATACCCACTACTGACTTGCCAGTGATTGAGGGTGCCATCTTGGAATCAGACCTTCCAGTCCCAGTCACATCTTCACATGACTGCAGTCTTGGCGTCATATTTACTGCCACCTCATGACAGATCCCCATCCAGAATCACCCACTCCAGAATTCCTGAACTCCAGAAACTATATGAAAGAAATGTTTATAGTTGTTAAAAGCAAACAAACAAAAAACAAAGGGTTGGATGCCAAAGCTTTGAAACTGTGTTCTAGGGCCCTCATGATTTGGGGGCTGCGTGTGGGGTACTGACTGGCTTGGTTTCCAACTCCTCCCCCATTTAAACCACTGCAGCTCTGCCTTTATCTGGTTTATATATTGAGGATCTATGTAGGAAAGGAGTCTGCTGCCAAAAATAAGTTGAAAAATACTAGATTAGGGAAACACTGGATTAGATGACCTCTAACACTCTGTAATCCCATCTATCAGTACGAAAAAAATGCTTCTTACAAACACAGTATTTTCTTCAGGGCTCACTCTTATCCACGAGGTTGGAAACAAAAACCCACAGTGTGCTGCTCACTGATAAATGTATCAGGAGCTGCCCTTCCTGTGCGTGAGGACAGACAAGAGGCCAGGCCATGGAGACAGTGCTGCTCCTGCAAAGGAAAGAGCCCCTCTCTGGGCACAGCTCCCTGCCTGGGGCACCACGTGAGGGGACAGATGAGTTTGCTTCTGTGGCCGACATTTGGTTATAATAATAATGACGATATTAATAATAATGATGATGTTAACACTATCAACAACAATGGCCAGCACCTACTGAGTGCTGTGTGCAAGACCTGGGATAGAGGTTTTCCATTCACGATCTCATTTAATCCTCGCGACCACTAGGAGGGAGGCATTTTATAGATTGAGGAAATGGAGGCTGGTAGGTTAAATGATTTGCCAGAGTCATGGATTAAGAAGAGCAGAGCTACAATGAAAACTCAGTCTGTCTATATCTATACAACCCTTTGCGACCATTTCATGTATTTTAGGCCACTATTCAGAATGAGCCGCCCCTCTTTGGGTCTGAAATACGTTGATTTCACACTAGGCGGCTTTAAGAGTTAGTTCTTATAAAAAAAGCTCTCCATTCCTTCACTCACTCAGTCATGCAACTAACATTAGCGAGAGCCAACTCTGTGCCCAGGTGCTGTTCTAGGCACTGCAGATAGAAGGGCAAGGAAAAGAGAGACTTGTGCTCCCTCAGGCTAAGCTGGGAGTTGGCAGGAGGAGGCCCTGAGAAGCCATCAGCTGCTTCCACTGCTTACAGACAAACTCCAGGGAGGAAAAGAAGGGAAGGTTCCCTTCAGGATGCTGAAGACCAAGGTCTTCCTTGGAGCATAGCTAGAAAATGCCTTCAAGGGACAGAAAGACTAGGTGTGACCTGGAGCTGGATCCCAGACAGCCATGAACCCCCAAAGACAGTCCTTCTAGGAACAGTTCCTCTAAGACAGTTCCCAAAGACAGTCCCTGTAGTCGCTCTCGGAAGCCTTCCTGGGTTGGACCCAACACTGATTGTGCTTCTCCTGGCTGGGCACCTCCCAGGATTCTGCCAGCCACACTGCAATAAGCTGAGAAAGGCTGCTTCTGTTACTGAGCACCATAGACACCGCACTAAAACAGCTTGTTCGGGAATTGTATCAACATGGACATAGTGCTGAGAAACCTTGCTCTGTGAAATCAGACTTTGAGAAACTGTGCTTTTGAAATCAAGTCTGCAGCAGCATTGTTCAGAGATTTCCAAGAGCAGGTCTTGACTGCCTGTGCGAGTCAATAAACTTTAGTTCTTTTAGTTGGTCTCATTATCTTATTAACAATTCTACTCTTTCGCTGGAACTGTTTTGGTGAAACTCCAACTGTTTCACGAATGTATTTTGAGGCCCCAACAAAGCTCCTCAAAGATGCGGCTGGCACTATTGTTCTATAACTCTCACTGACTTGGACCCCCAAAGGGTCACTTCTTTCCTGTCGATGAGTCCACCGGAGTCCCGCGGCTGGGTTGGAACCTGTCCAGGAAGGTGCAGGGGCTTTAGTTCCACAAAAGGCAGGCAGAAACGGGCTCTTCATGGGGAACGGGGTGCCCGTCTCTATCTACGGAGACTGACATCTACCGGCTCCAGCCTCAGATCAGTTGTTGGCAGTGGAATGGAGTTGACCCCGTAGCCTCACCTGCTGCCCCCTCACACATTTCAGCACCAACACGCCAGACCCCCCACCTTCACCTGGGGCCACCAAATCCTATTTTCTCTTCAAAATCCAGAACCAGTCCTTTGTGACAGGCCTTGATTCTCCTCCTCTCCTCCACCTCCTTCACCCCCAGGCAAGGCTTCTTCTCAGAAGTCTGTTCTTGGGCACCAAACAACAAACACACAGAGATACAGAGATTAGATTGGTGGTTTTACCTCATTTGTGCTTCTTGCTGACTTTTAAATTGTGCTGTTTCAGTATTTTCTTACTCAGGGATCCAGAAGGCAGGCATTTGATTTAAAGACTCTTTCTAGGAAGTACCTCAAAGTTTTTCTAGTGTGTTTTAAGTCAACTCTTGTCCAACTGCAGAAATAGGAGTGGGGACTACGTCAGAGGATTTGACACAACTGTTACATAAAACAATAGTCTGCTCTTGACGACTTAGAGGGTGACTGCAGAGGTTTGCAGTTGAACGTGGGATAAGGTGGGACCTGCCAACCTAGCAGGGGACACTGGACACTATGATGAGCAGGTGTCAGGAGAGTGGCCCAGGCCCTGGGTTGCCAGGTGGTGCCAGCAGTGAGCAGGTGGGGTTCTGAGTTCCCCACCTGGCTCGACCCCAGCCGCTCAGGGGCCTGGTGCTCTCCTTCATCCCCGAGGTGAGGCCCAGCAAAGAATGTTGCCTAACCACCTACACCCTTGGGGGCGCGTCTGACATGTGGATAACCTGCAAAGCAGTGAGTCACCTAATAATAGGGGCTTTCGTCATCCAGTAAACAAAGTCAGCAGCAAAGCAACTTGTCTTTATGAAATCTGACGTCAACACTTGTCTATCTCATCCCTTTCCTGGGCTCTGTCAATTTAATTCTGGGTAAGGAAACATTATTAATAAAAACAAGCAACAGCATTCATAAAAGTAAAAAAAAGGTAAAATAGGGCCTTTACTTTTGTAACCCTATTTAAAGCATTCATCCTTCTCTGCCATGTGAGGACACGGTGAGGAGGGGGCTATCTACAAGCCAGAAAGAGGGGCCTCACCAGAACCTGACCACACTGCCACCCTAATCTTGGACTTCAGCCTCCAGAACTGTGAGAAATAAATTCCTGTTGTTTAAGCCACCCAATCTACGGTATTTGGTTATGGGGACTCGAGTTGACTCATACAGATACTAATTATTGATGCTTTCCTTCCCTCTAGTCTAGACAATGAGCTTCATGAAAGTAGTTCCTTGTGACTAGAACTGCTTAGTAAACAGAGAACTTGGACCTTCACAGGTAGGAGGAACAACCAAGTAATTTGTGAAATTACAAATGGGTTTACATCAGCCCATTTATGACGGCCCAGCTCAGCCCTAAGCTGTGGCTCTCAGCTTTGGCTGCACATTAGAATCAGCTGGGGAGCGTGCAAACTGCTGATGTCCTGGCTACATCATGGACCAATTAGATTGTCTCCAGGGACGAGGTCCAGACATCACTAACATTTAGACATTGGTCCAGCAGTCAAATGAAACCCACCATCCTAAAGCTAACTAGGTAAAGTACTGGGATGAGGGGCCCCCAACTAAAAGGAAAGATGCCAAGTCCTCCCTCCTATTGCAGAATTCAATGGCCTGCTTTACGGGTATCAATGGGATGAAGGTCGAGTGAGACAGAAGGCGATGTATCGTTTCAACAAACCAAACCAAAACAAACAGCTTCAAGCTCACACAAGTACTTTTATTTGAGGCAAAGAAGTCTGACCGAAAGGATTAAGGTTCCAAGCAGCCAAAATCCAATTGTTAGTGGCGCTATTTTGACTTTGTAGATTCAATTTAGTCAGAAAAAGGCATTTAGAAGGGCAAAGAAAACTGGAGGAGACTTCTAATCTACTGATCCTGCTCTTTGGACCAAACTCCAAGCTGGCCAAGCCCTCGCTGGTTGGTCTGCAGGCCAATGACCCCCTGCTCTAGGGACATAGGCTACACCATACTACACGTGGGGCAAGTGGGGCGGGAAACACACCAGCAGGTCACTTGGGGAGGAGCAGCTTCAAAACTCTTCATTGAAGGGATAATCCTTGTGGGAGGCACAGCTGTCAGGAGAAAAGAGGAACATATTTGCTTTTCAAGGAAGAGATTTTGACCACAACAAATTACAAGACAGAAATGGTGAGTGTCTCATTACAGGCAGAAATAGAGGCCTCAGAGGCAAAAAGCCAGTTCTGAGACTACAGATCATGGGGGCAGTGGCTCACCCCCCCCCACCTCCAGACTCCTTTGCCACGGGCTCTCATCAATTGGCACACGTGTGATGGATACTACTCTGCCCTGTGCCTGGGGAGTGCAGGGCAGCAAGACAGGATTCCTGCCTCCTAGTAACTCAGTCCAGTTACAGGACCAGAGAGCATCTTATTGTCTTAGATAGTAAGAGGGTGACGATAACATAAGAGATGTTATGAGTCTACATGTGTGATGCAGCAGATGCTCTGAGCACATGGAGCAAGAGGCCACCATTACACCTCCAGAGATCAGTGGGAGCTGAAGTGAGCCCAGGAGAGTAGTTGAGGATTTGATACAGGAAACAGAAGGGGAGGGGACAGGCTGCGCATTGACCTGGGGGTGGAGAGCTGCATGCGTGTTTGCCCAAATTCACAGTCCTATCTAGTAAGGCCAATAGCTTGTGCTGGGAAAATAATGGTAATAATGTTGCAAAGACCTGCTGGGAAGAGTGTGAAAGGCCCAGGGTGAACCCAACTTGAGGCATATAACTCTTATTGAAACAGAGCCATGCCAAAGTTCCCCATGTTCTGCCATTTTTTTCCGCATCCCATTAAACTTAAGGAATATAACACTGCCATTAGCACGAGGCTCAGTACAGCAATAATTGCCAAAAAGAGGCAATGTAGGGGCCGGCCCCGTGGCCTAGCAGTTAAGTGCACACACTCCGCTGCTGGCAGCCAAGGTTCAGATCCCGGGCACGCACCGATGCACCGCTTGTCAGGCCATGCTGTGGCGACGTCCCATATAAAGTGGAGGAAGATGGGCACAGATGTTAGCTCAGGGCCAGTCTTCCTCAGCAAAAAGAGGAGGATTGGCATGGATGTTAGCTCAGGGCTGATCTTCCTCACCAAAAAAAAAAAAAAAAGAGGCAATGTATGTGTATGTATGTAAATGTATACTCACAAAAAACTTCTTAGGCCACCCGGGAATGTTGGAGCCAGCCTCTCTCCATCCCCACTAAACATCAGTAGCCCACAGAATAATCTGACAGCTGTTTCTAGAATGGCACTGGAGAGTGGAAGGAGTCTAAATGTAATGGACTAATTGGACTGATTAGAAAACTACTGTGGTTTGTCAGTCCCAAGACCTTCGATATACTATGTCAGCAGCGGGAAGGGAAAGTGGAACTGAATGAAGGACACCGAGATTCTCAAAGCAGAACAGATGTACCTTGGTGAAGGATTCACTTCTCTCTCTTGCCCACTAGATACAAAAACGATTTTAACGTCTAAAGGTTAAGTACCATTAACACAAACAGGACCACGAGCAAGGGCCCTGGTTTGGGGCTGCCAGTGATCAACTCTGTGGCCTCTTTTGAATCTGAGGCCATGGTGTGACAGCTGCACGCTCACCAAGCACGTTCACACCTGAAGCACAGGAGCGAGTTATCATCTAAGATGAAAATCTGGCCAATATCTGCCAGGGACGGTCGCTGGTGCCATCAGCGGCGCAAACTCTGAACTGGAGAGAGAGAGCACAGGAGCTGGAAAAAGAAAGCTAGCACCCTACGCTGTCCTGGGGAATGTTCAAATGGTGCTTAGAAGAGTAACTACTGAAGGAGACAGAGAAGAACCAGTCAGAGAGCTCAGACAATACAAATAGCGAGAGAGGAGGTTCTTACTCTCCATTGTAAAACGGGAAGTTTCTTCTTGAAAGCAGAAAATGAGTTTTACACTTTAGTTATTGTACTGGTAGGAAAAGAAAAAACAAACAACTTTCCTTGTCATCTCCCTCAGATTCCAAACTACAAATTAGAGGGAATACAAGGAACCAGACAAGGTGCAGCAGGAAGGGCCTCAGGTGACTCTGCCAGGCAGAGGGGTCGAGCACCTCTCAGAGTCATGTGGATTATCAGTGTCAGAACCCACGCACCACAGTCTTCCTACTAACTAACCCCCTGTCATGAGAGTCACTGAGATCAAGAGTCACAGGCAAATTCCAGGAGGTGGGGCAGGAGCCACTTGGGATCATCTGGTTTCAGATGAGCCACTAAGATTTGAAAATTAAATGCCAAAATATGCGGGTACTGTCAGTTAGGCCAACAATGCGCCTGGGGCAAATGGAGAAGATCTAGAGCAGGTCTCTCAGCATTTTCCCCGTGGCTGTGTGCAGTTCAGCTGACACCGGTTTGAATGTTTCCTGTCGCACACAGATGAGATAGCAAGGTAACATGCAAAAGTCAGAACGGCTTTGATCACAGGACTCCGGTGTTAAGGCCTCAAGAGTTATTCTTTTGTTCTGCAGCATCTGATCCTCTTCCGGGACTCGCTCAATCATCACACCCAGGACTCACTCACCTCACCAAGGCACAGACCCTCCAATTCCTGTTGTAGCTGAGTAAGGTGGTCATATCCACGCTGCTCAGTTCAAAGTCAAAGACCTAAAAAGAAGAAAAAATTTCAGTAAGCTCTGCAAATAAAGATCCAACACTGACTATCGAAGTATTTATGAGCAGCGCTGTGCAGGACCACTGATGAGATAGCTGCTGCCCTGAGTGGGGGCAGGTAGTGCAGTAAGGTAGACGAAACTCAGAGATAAGTTTACTGTAGGACTATTCAGAGAATGCATGTGTTTTGGCTGGGTACTATATGGAACAATGAAAACAGTCCTTCCCTTCCAGAACCTCCAAGCAAGATGATATTTTTTATTCCTTTTAGTTCATTTCAAAACTACTGCTGAGCACCTCTATTGTGATAAGCACCAGTGGGGAATATGATGATGGGTAAGAAGTGTCTTTGCCTCAGTTAATTCCACAACTATAATACAAGAAGAATTCATCACACGTTGTACAAAAGATGTTACAGAAAGCACTCACGAGTCCAGAGGAATTCGAAATGAATTCCAGCTGGGGAACCGAAGGATGCGGTCAAAGCAGATGGTATTTGAAATGGGCCTAAGAAGCCAAATAAGGTCTTGACAGAGCAAGAAAGGGACATTGAGAAGAGAACCATGTGCATGAAGACCACAGTCTGCTTGGGAAGAACTCAGCCCGCATGGAGGCCAAAGGCAGGCCCGCAGCAGCACCAGGTGAGATGGGAGGCCCCTCAGCGTCAGATGATTACAGACTGTGCAGAAAGTAAGTCTGCTGCATACTCTGTGATTACAACTGTGCAAAAATGTGCAAAGACCACACACATGGTAAGATGCAAAAATAAGATAATGTTAGCACTATGAGATTAGTCACAAATGTTTCTTGTCTAACACCTTGCAAAAATGAAATATGAAACAAAGGATCCCTCTCCAGCAGAATGTGTTTCTCAAGTGGTCACTGTTTTACCACTTTATCTCAAATAATTAAAACATCTGTATATAAGAAGAAAATTGTCTCACCTACGAAACAGTAAGCCCCCTTCCCTCCCTAGGACTCACCCCAGTCTCCCAGGTGACCAGTGGTACATGTTACAGCCACAGCCTGTGGCCAGTGGAACAGGCAAAATTAGCTGCTCACTGTGGAAAGAGAGCTGCTGGGAACCAGAGCGTAGGTGAAGATGGAGCGGTCCTGGAGGAGCTGCTTTTCTCAGTGAGAGCAGAGGCTCAGGGGCATCAGGACCCTCCCGGAGCAGCTCTTCTCCGTGCACGGCCCCCGACACTGGAGCAAGAGGCAGGCAGGGAGGGGCGTGATGCCAGGCAGGCTAATCTGCTCCGGCGAGTGCTCTGAGGGCCCACCGAACACCGCCCTGGTGCCCTGACACAAGCCCTGCTGCTCTGCTCATTGTGAGACGGGGTCCCGGCAGAGGCAGCGAGTGGGCTAGGTGCCTGTAAGGTTTTTGCAGTCCACGGACTTATCAGCACAGAGCATTTCCTGAGCACTTACTAAGGCACCAAGCATCATGTGAAGCCCTTTGATGCATCTTATTTAATCTTTATGACAACCCTCAAAATCAATATTATTTTACAGATGGGGAAACTGAGGCATGGTAACTAATGGAGCCCCGAGGCAAATCCAGGCAGTGCTGCTTGAGAGCAACATTTCTCAGGCAAACACTGAGTCACTGAGGAGCCTCAGCAAAGGGTGGGTGTGCATGCACAGCAGGGGCCACTGAGGCACAGAGCTTGGCCCCGCACGAGACCTAGCACAGCGCCTCCACCCATGAGGAGCCACCATCCTAAGTCCAGGGTCTGCTCACTGCAGCTTACTCCCTGACTGAGAGGTGGGAGTCCCACACACGCCAACCCAGGGACAGGATGAGAGGCCCTGTGAAGAGCCCTCCCCTGTCCCCTTCTCCACTGAGGAAAACCTGGGCCAACCGGCCAGGATCTTACCTGCAAGTTCTCAGCAATGCGTTCAGGTGTCACCGACTTGGGGATCACGACCACATTCCTCTGTATGGGGAACCGGATCAGAACCTGTGAAGAGATGTGCTGAGTGTCTATGTACAGCAGGAACTCTCTGTTGCTCTCTCACTTTGTCTTATATATCCATTACTTTAAGAGGGAAATCCCAGAACTTCCCATGTGAGAAAAGCAAGGCTCAAGATGTTAGGGTCACAGCCAGCAACAGGGAAGGGAGGCGCTCAGCACCTGCTCTGAGCCACCAGGCCATGCGCTTCCGTGTCTCCCAGGTGTATTACCCGCAAGGAGACTATTCACTGCCCAGGAACTCATTCTACCACTTGGGAGAAAGAGAACATTCCCTGTGCAGCTACAATAAGTGCTCTTCTCTGAGTAGAGATGAGGGTCCACACACAGCAGCAAATGACCCCTGTACAGCCTGTGAAGGGAGTAGGGCAGGTACTATTATCCCCAGATGACAGGGCAGTCTTCCTACTTCCCATCTGCGCCCTTCCTACTACACGTTCCAGGGCCCCAAGCCCACAGTGACTGGCGCTTGACCAGTCACCTCTCCCTCCTGGCTAACGGAATCACCACGAATGGAGGAAGTTCTGGGAACAGTCATGAGCACCCGGAAATGGCCATACCTGGGCTGTTGTTTTATTGTGCTTCTCTGCAATCGCTTTGATCCTGGGATCCTCCAGCAGGGAAGGGTCCTCGGGCTTGGCCCTAGAGACAGAAAGATGGCGTGAGCAACCATCGTCACCACCACTCAAGGCAGCTGGCAACCTTAACCCTAACTCCCATCAACCTCAGAGGGCAGCCCGCCAGCCTCCTCCCAATTTGAAGCTTGGTTACAAACTCCCAACCCTTTGAAAAAAGAGTAGGCATCTTGCTGCTAGAAACACCAACCAGGAAACCCTACAAGAAGCTGCCACGAAGGTCTACAAATCAGTCCCAGAAGCATTTCCTTGATGCTGAATTTTTCTTTTTAGCCATTTCTAATCTTCATCAACTGACAAGAGAACATCATCCCACAGCAACTCACCAGGGCCTGTCGGGAGAGCCGAGGGGACTGTAGGCAGTCACAGTGATGCCTTTGGATTGGCAGTACTGGATTAACTTCTCCTGAGTGAGGTACGGGTGGCACTCGATCTGCAAATGCAAACAGGAGGGTTGATGGTGCCACTGTGGGCACAGGTGATGGGACATACACAGTGTTTCCCCAGGCTAAGTCCCTTCCCTCCCCACACAGAATATTAAGTGTAACTCATGTCCCATCTCCTGGATATCTGTAACAACTGTCTGTGTTTCCTAGCTGGTGTCCTTGACATTAACACAAATAATCTTGCTACCGATGTACTGTGGCCACAGGCCCTGAGGGTTTTTTCTGGCTTTGGCCATTTATCAACCATGACAGGTCTGAGGACCTCAACGTCTGCATGCTGCTCATCTTGAGACCCCAAGTCATCACAAGCCAGGCTCACACCCTTTCTCTCCTGCAAGATTCAAGATGTGTCACCATCATTATGAATCATAAATCAGGACTCTGCCAGTGACCAGGGACCTGTCCCCTGGCTGCTCCCTGGGTGACACGGACAAGAAGTAACTGCCGCAGTCTCCCACACACATCAGTCTCCCTGCTGGATGTTTACCTGGTTAACTGCTGGCTTATGTTTTAAGCCAGGTTTGTTTAAGATCTTCTCGATCTGGAGATGGTTGAAGTTGGAGAGTCCAATAGCTTTCACCAGCCCTCCATCCACCAGCTCTTCCATGGCCTAAAGACAAAGGAGGGTCTGCTTGCTGCTGACATGTGTCCAAAAGGCCAACGATCAGAATCATCTTTTGCACCAGTTTAATAGGTCCCGCCCTTACTATCAGACCTTCGAGAAGCCAAGAGACACCAAGACAAAAGCCAGGCTGGCTTCAATGAAAGAGCAAAAACAGTGACAGAACAACAAAATTCAGCAAAAGAAATGGCAGAGCAGATGGCTCACATCTGGGTCATTCACAAGGAGAACAGGAAACCAGAAATGAGGGAGAAGGCCAAATTGGGACCGCCTTACCTCCCACGTGTCCACAAAGTTGGTGTCACTGGGAATCACGTTGCCTTCCCCATCCAATGGAAAAAATTCCTTCCCGGGCTATTGTTAAAATAAAAAACGAACAATCAATCAATAATAGCCCTTCGAAGACCTGTTGGGGGAGCTGCATCTTTGAAAGCAAAGTTCTACAAAAAAATTATTCTAAACTAGGATAGCTGGTTAAGTTTATAGAAGATAAAGGCAAATCGGTATGTCAGTGTGAAAAGGAAACAGGCAGAGAACTCCCGGAGCCCCAGACACTTTCTCTATCACATGGTTGGAGCTGACTGTAGATGGAGATGGATGACTCTTGGTCAGTGAGACGAGCCCCACCATGGACTGGCGTGTGTGGCTGGGGGAAGGACTCAGGAGCAGGAGTCATGGGGCCCATGTCCTGGCTGGATCACTAGCCAACAAAACTGTCACCTCACCAAGCTTGCTGGCTTATCATAAAAAATAAAGGATGAAAGTCAAGTCCTGATACACCACAGTGCAATAAAACAGAGCTATAGGATAAAACCCACATGCTTTCCAACTGGTTGACAAAGCAGAAAACTGAGCTAGTGGCTAGAAAGAGGCAAAGGACTCGAGGGTTCTTTTTGTGCAGAGTCAGCTTGCCAGAAATACTGATCAAGCTTCCAGAGGCTGGGGCATGTGTGTGGAATATAGGAATATACACACACACACATGTGCAGGGCATGAACATGGATGTGTGGATATGCCTGGAGGCAGGGGCAGGGCGGGGGGCAGTGACAGGTGATGACATCTTACTGCCGTGTAGAAATATCACCTGAGCCATGTTTGCTGTCACAAAGTTTTAAATTCTACAATCACCAGACAACCAAGAGCAGTGCCCTTAAACTCTTAATGTGCACATGAGTCACCTGTGTTTCGGATTCAGAAGGCCTGGGCGGGGCCTGAGACTGAGTTCTAACAAGTTCCCAGGTGATGTCACTGCTGCTGGTCCAGGGACCGCACCCTGAGCAGCAAGGTTGCACACTGAGTGTCTACCGACTCATCATTTGCTATGATGATCTGCTATGAAAAGAAGGCATAACATGCCACAAACTACACCCAAGACCCAGGGAGCTGGCCTGAGCCCTGTGCCCTGTACCTTGAAGCCTGTTGGCCAGTGAATAAGGTAGAGGTCCAGGTAGTCCAGTTTCAGGTCTTTGAGCGTCTTCTGGCAGGCTCCTTTCACCTGGCTCTTCTCATGGTACGTGCACCACAGCTGAAGCCAGTGAGAGAACACATCTTATCAGTGCCATGCAGGATGCTGTTTCCCGGCCAGGAGCCAGATGGCTTGAGGATTCACTTTCCTCCCCACATCCCACCCACTTCACTGTGATGCTGTAAATGCTGGCGAGGGAGTTTCCATTTCACAACACGGATCCTAACTTTCCAAAGGAAGGTAGGATAATCAGGTCAAGGAAACCTCTCAGAAGGACCAAACTGAAGGCATAAAATAGAATGGATAGGTTGGCAAACCAGCCCTAGGCCCTAAACATGAGCTCTTTTCCTACCAGGCTGGTCTTTGTGGAGCCAGCCTCACCATCCAACCTGGTGTCCCGTGGGCACCAACAGCTTCCAGGCAAAAGATGGTGGCCAGCAGTAGAGATCAAGTCTGCAGATGGGAACCAAATTCCGTCCTCAAAGGTAACTCCCTGGAAAGGGAGCGCCAACCCACAACCTCAGCCTCATCAACAAGGGGCTCTAACCAATGGGTCCAGGTGGAAACACCATCCAACAGACGGCCATGGACAGGCGAACTCTGGAGCCCTCTACGGCCTTGAGTCAACACGTTTCCACTGGAAGAACTGCCTGCTGAATGATAATTGAAGCCGTATTAAGAGGCCCCAGATTATGACCTTGGCTCCTAAGCTGATGCCACCACTGGAAAATTGTGAACAAGAACCCTATCCCCCAGGCTCCCCATGTAGAGTGGCACCTTGCTGACGATGAAGAGGTCTTCACGCTTCACCACCTGCTCCTTGAGCTTCTCCTGGAGGGCCACCCCCACCTCATTCTCGTTCTGGTACACGTGGGCACAGTCGATGTGGCGGTACCCAAGGTCAAGTGCTACCTTCACAGCCTCCGTCACTTTGCCCGGAGGGGACTAAAAGGAAAAGTAATGGAAGGCATGGAGTTAAAACCAAAAACGAAACAAAACACCGAGTTTGCACACAACCCAGGAAGAAGGGCAGTGAGAACCAACTGCTCCTCCCGAAGCTCCTTTCCCTGAAGTTCAGGCTCCCTTACCCTGAACTCCAGGGTAAGTTTCAGAAGCAGCATTCTAAACTCCTTACTTTCAGATGGGGAACCTGGGTGAAATGCCAGATTGCTTTTTAGGAAAATCTGACAACCACTTAACAGCAGCACAGATCACCTTAAAAAGATATGCCAAAGCCACTTCACTTCCTTGTTTCTTCACATCTGTTGATACAGAAACCAGTGTATAAAAAACCCCCTGACTATCTGAATCTATTAGGTTCCCAAGACAATAAGGGATACCATTTCCTTCAAATAGCTCGGGCCCGCCCAGTGGCGCAAGCGGTTAAGTGCACGCACTCTGCTGCAGCGGCCCGGGGTTGGCCAGTTCGGATCCTGGCCGCGCACTGACACACCGCTTGTCAAGCCATGCTGTAGCGGTGTCCCATATAAAGTAGAGGAAGATGGGTATGGATGGCAGCCCAGGGCCAGTCTTCTTCAGCAAAAAAAAAAAAAAAAAAAAAAAGGGGGTTTGGAAAATTTTAGTAAAGGGCCCCTTTTCCCAAAAAAAAAAAAAAAAAAAAAAAAACCAAACCAAATAGCTCAAAATATTTCAAAAACCTGTAAATATGTACCCAATTCCCATTTGGTTTCTGAGTTCCATCAGTGAATGCCTGCCCTTTACTTTCTCCTTTCATGCATGGATTCTGATTAGCAATCACTTGTTCTTAAGCAGTTCTGGGAGATCATCATGAAGTTGAGAACATTACAGATGCAGATTCAAAGGCCTGTGCTTTAGTTCTCACTGTGTGAGAATCTGCTTTAAGCAGTGGAGACAGGAGATGGCCCCTCAGAAGACATGAACACACAGAAATGAATTGAAAGGAGAAGGTAAATGGGAGTCACGGAAGGTCGCCAGATGGTTTGTGGTCAGAGCTGCAGAGAGATTGAATGGCTGGCTGTGCCCAAACCATCTGACCATCTGAGTGACCAGCACAGCAGGGAGCCTGGCTGTTGAGAAGGAGAAGGAAGTGCATGCATAGCCATCGAGCTTCACCAGCACCTAGATTGACTGCACAGACACTTACTCCATCTCCTCGCTCGCTCGAGGTGAAAAATAAACACGTGTGCAAGGAACTGTGACTAGAGTGAATAGAGTGCATTCCTCTGGAGAGCTGGGGTAGAAAAGAATGAAAAGAAAAACTCCCCAGGGCCCGCAGCAGCTGCAGACATCTGCTGTTTTGACATCAGCTGTGGTGAACAGGCCAGGGGAGAACATGGAGCAGTGGGAACAGGTGCATGACCGGAGCCTGTTAGCACACTGAGCTGCTCGCCCCCAGGGAAGAGCAGGCAGGTGGGGTGGGTGATGCTAACTGCAGGTGTAAGACCAGGGAACATCTTCAGATGATCCGGCAATGTCCTATTTCCCTGGAGTAGGGACCCAAGAAGCTGCACCTGCAGCCTTCACCACCCTTCAAGGTTCAAAGAATGGAGGGGAGGAAACAACTCCAGCCTCTGACAGAGGGGTGGGCACATTTCCCAGGCCCCGCCTAGCCACACACTGCATCTGCCACAGCAACTGGTGCAGGAGCAGAGACACGACCCATGCCAGGCCCTCGAGACTCAATCTTTGGACTTGAGTTAGCACCATCAAGACAAGCTTTCATTCTGCTGAGGTCACTGTGCTGGGAGAATGTGAGCCCGGATCTGCTAAAGTGGGGTTGCGAGACAGGCGAGGGTTGAGAGAGACTGCCCCTGGTGACATCATCTATATCCTTGAATCTGGTACACCAAAGTCATTTTGTAGGTCAACGAATCCTCACTTCAAACATACATTTTTTTTCCGCTTAAGATTAAGGTGGTTACTTGGTTCCTCGGAACTAGAAGAGTGCACACTAGGAGAACCAAGGTTGCTGAACAATTGGCACAAAGCTAAAAAGAAGTTCATGTGGTGTGTTTTTATAGCAAAGTCAAGGACGGAAATGACCTCCCAGAGGTCATGAAGAAGCTGCTGCTCCCTGACCCTTCCCTGGGCAGAGGGCTGATTAGCTGGAAAATGACCAAACTGCTTTCACAGGGAAAAGAAAAACAGAAGCAAGGACTGTTAGGCATTTTACAAATTTGTTGAAGTTGTGGCAATTTATAACAAAACTCCTGTGAGTGGAAGGTAGGTGCCAGCCTCCCCTTTTTGGAGACGCCTTTGCAGCAGTGGGGAAGGTTGCGTAGGGCCAAGTGCTCTGCAGCGAGGGGAACCAATGGCCCTCACCTGGGCTGGTGAGCCAGGGCTCGTCCTGGGGCAGGCACACTGGTCACGACTAGAAGGCTTGTGCCAGGGCAGATCATGTCACTGAATGGAATCCGACCATTTGGCACACAATGGCTTGAACTGAGCATCGTAACAGCTCCCACTGACCGTGGACCAGCTCTAAATGGATTATAGAACTGAATCTTCACCACAACCTGGTAGATGCTGTCATCTCTACAGATAAAGAAACTAAGGCACAGAGAGGTTAGAAGCGGCCCAGGATCCTGCAGTTAGTAAGAGATGTCAGGATTCAAACCCCAGTAGAGGGACCTTAGAGCCATGCTTTGCCGAGAGGTCTCTCCTCTGGGGTGGACCCCAAGAGGCAGGAGACGCTGGTCAGTGAGAGGACAAGTCTCCTAGGCTTGGAGAAGTCATCTTCTGGGATGAAAATGTATCAGACTCCACCAACTACATTCAATATTAATCATCTCAATCCAGAACCCTTCCCAGAAAGAGACTAAACTAACTTATCACTAATGAAGCAGCCAACTCAAGATATGGTGAAAAGTCACTCAATAAACAGGAATGCTAATACATGATTACACCATCTCCCCATTCCATGTCCCCATTCGAAAATGCAAACAGAACTGAGTGGTCCAGACTGAGACTTTGAAAAGAATATAAATCATGAAAATGCTTCCATACATCTAACAGCAAATCTGCAGGACACCAGTGTAGGAAACACTCAAATTATAAATAACTGAATTATACAAATCCTACAGACTAAATCCCGTTTTAAAGTCGATTCTGCCACTAACCTGCCCTGGGACTTGGGCACATCCATGCACGCCCATGCCTCTCAGACCTTGCAGCTCCCCAGCTCCAGCTTGGGCGGCAACTTGACGTTCTGGGCTGACGGCATCAAGTGACAGCGGTGAGAGGCCTCTGCCCCTGGGCCCCCACCACCTGCAGGGGATGGGCCTCCCTAGTTCCTCGTTTTAGAACATTCCCAGGCCAGCTAACACCAACTCAGATAATTACTATTAGACTCTCTCTCTCTCACACACACACACACATACTCCCACCTTTTAAAATCTAATCCTCTTGCCCTTTGCTTGTAGCTCTTGCTAGTTACTTTAAGATAATATCCTTCCCTCTAGTCCCTCTGCAAGTCAGAAGAAAACCACAGCCAAAACCCAGAAAGGTTATACAACAGTGTAAATCATAAACACAAAGCATCTCAGAAATTGAATCCCTTGCAGTATTAACCATGGGGATTTCTGGGAAGAGGAGACTGTTACTTCTGATGTATTTTTTTTGAAATTTTCTCTAGTTAGCAGGTATTACTTTTGTAATGAAAGCGGGGCTGGGGGGCTTCACTTTGGGGAAAAAAAACTATCTTGGGTAAGACGTATGAGAACAGTGTGCCAATGATCATCCTGGAGCAGGAATGCGAAACCACAGCTTTTGAACTTAGATTTAACAAAGAAACAGGGCCATCAATCCTAAAGCCTTGAAAAGTACCGTATCACAGAAAAGCTGTCACTGAAAAACACTGTTTAACCTCTTCTGATTAAACCAGCTCTTCTTAGGGAAACCCCACCTGCATTTAAGAAAAACTAATATTTTTTTGTTATTGGTTTTGTTTAAATACTAGTGGTGTCACAATTTTCTATTTTTCATAAGTGTAAATGATTTCAACCAGATGAGAGTTAGACATGTGTGACCTAACTTCTCAAAATGTATTCCAAGTTCCAATTAATTTACTTAGAAATCTTCTGGAAGAGGAGTCGGTAACCTTTTTCTGTAAGGGGCCAGACAGAAAATATATTAGGGTTTGTGGGCCAAAGGGCCTGTCACAAGTGCTCAACATCACTGTTGCAGCACAAAGCAGTCATAAACAATACGTAAAGCAATGAGATGTGTTCCAGTAAAACTTTATTTACAAAAACAGGCCTGTGGGTTGTAGTTCACCAAGCCCTTTGTATGCCAGAAGAGCATACAAACAAATGGGGATTAAGCAACAGGCCCAGCCTTCCTTTGTCCTGCCTCCTGTTCACAAATAACATTCTGGTTCCCAATTCAGCACCCTGATAACAAAAAGTTAGGTATTCTGATTTTGAAAACAAGTATTTTAGTGATTGAAAGAGTTTAACACCTGTTCTAATTTAACCAATTGACAATACGGTCCCAATCAAATTTGGGTAAATCTGAGCAAGCTGGGCCAGCTCGCTCTGTGATTACACAGAACGTTCCCACCCTGCAACACCGGGAGACCAGGATCTGGCATTTTTGTATAAACAAGGCTTAAAATGCACCACATGAGACTCCAACAGAATAAGCATCGGCGAGAATCCACAGGATGACTACAACATGCTACCTTTCACATCCTATCCACGGTCAACAGAGACGCTCTTCATTGTTTGATGTAGATAAGCCAACCTCACTTGGCTCACATTCAATCACCCAAACTCATTATCCAGTTTAATAATGTAAACTGCAATTTCAAATGATAAGGAATCGACTGCTGAAGAATGATCTTTTTTGTTGCCTTATCATATGAAAACAGTCAATTTGGCTACTATTTTACATCAAAGCTCATTATCAGGTTTGGCAACAAACACAACCAATTAATAAAACTGGGATTAACTTCCTGCTGCTCGACTGGAATCAATCTGTCCTGAATTCTAAGACACTGATGTCTCCACTTGGTTGAGATGGGGATGGACCAGGAGTGGCCCTGCACAGGCAGGACTTATTTAAACGTCTTTGATCTTGAAGAGCGTGAGCTTGAGGGCTGCAGGGAAGTGAGGCCAGTGGAAAAGAAAAGTCAAGCTACTGTTTTAGCTCCAGTGCCAGCACCTCTACCCTCTCCCCAGTTCCGGAATCTAGGAGCCATCACAAGCTTGCCCCACTATGGGAATGTGGCCGGAATTCTGTCTCAGCACATTTCTTCTACCTCATGCATTCTTAAAGGGGGGATATTACCCCCAAAGAGGCAAAAACTGGTTCATTGGGAGCGGGGAAAAAAAAAAATCACAACAACTTAGCTACACAATGGTTTGTGGCCCCCCAAAGGACCATCCGACACAAACAGATGTACAGTCTAAAATTTTAAGGAGGGGGCCGTTAGGCTCCTGGCTGGAGCAGGTGTGGAGATCATGGAAAAGAAGTTGAGAAACACAGTTGTACCTCCATTCCTAAGTTTGGAGTATACGAGTGAGTTACAATGACCATTTACTACAACAATTTTACCAGCAACCAGATACTAGCCAGCATCAGAAGTAAGCTCTGTTTTAACTGCTTTCTGGCAATACAATGCTGGTGGACTTACTGTCTAACGGGGAAGGCAAGCTTGCCAAGGGGAAACCCCTCTAAGCCACACAGCAGTGGGAGGCAGAGATGCTCTCCAACAAGCCTGAGACCCTCACCTCCGAAGAGAGAAGGGTGAGTTTGAGGACCTTCAAGGGAATAGGAGGCTGGAGACCACTCGAGCCCTGTGAAGGGTATGGATGGTAAAACAGCCACCATGACATGAAAGATCCATGAGAACAAGGAGCTGCACCCACTCACAGAGCCTCCCCCAGTTCTCACGAAGATAACGGGGACGGTATTTAGGTCACGCATCTTTTGTCCAGCATCTGTGAAGGAATAGGTACACATATACGAGGGAAAGGTACTAAGCCGCCATCCATATAACTTTTGTACTTAAAAAAAAAAAAAAATCTACTCCAGGCCCACACTTATACTATTCATTTCACTATTACCTCCCTACCGTGCCTCCACACAACTCTGTACAAACCTCATCTCCTCACCCCCAAATTCTAAAGTTATCTTGCTTCTTCTCATTAATTCAACACATACCTTTTGGGTACCTACTATTTACTAGGCACTGTGAGAAGTGCTGGAAACAGTTGTGAACAAGGCAGATGTTACCCCAGCCCTCAATGAACTTAGGCTGCTGCAATGATCTAACTGTACAGATTTTATAATGTTACTTGAAATAAATATACAACTTTTCAGGGTGTTAAGTGCTCAGGTGAATGACTTACAACCTGCTTTTATCAATTTTTACTCCTTACTCTATAGTAGTGATTTTCAAACGACAGGCCTAAGGTCAGGACTATCATTTCTAGAAACACAAAACAAAAATATCAGAATGCATCCCACCTAGTAAGGTTAAGTATTGTTTTGTGGAACTTTTGTTCCAGTTATGCATGTACATCTGTGTGCCGCATCACTACAGAAACTCTAATTTGCTATTGCCAAGAAAGTGTCTTTTCACATCCATTCCAAGAGAATAACCTGCAACAGATGGACTTTAACTCGGTATCACGGTCATAATTCAATTACAGCCTTAGAGTGTAATTCAATTATACTCACTGGACTTGGTGAGGCAAACACAAATTAAGAATACCCCAATCACTTTGGCCAACTAGACAACTCTAGGAACCTTTTCTTATTCACCTTACATTTATGCATTTTCAACCGCAGGTTTTTAGAGTAGAGATAAACACCATCCTCTGTTTTATTTCACACCATTTCACGGTGCACTCAATCCCTTGTCTTTTCTTTCCTTGTCTGGGTGTGAATACCCAACGCCCAGGCCCACATTCAAAGCTCCTGGGAAAACCTGGGCCACAGCTGCGGAATGTTAATATACAATGCCCGAAGTGAACTATAAGAGGCTTTAAAATATTGAGTTTTGTCCCAGTGCCCATAATACCATCCTTCGATGCTCCCTAATTTCATGTAAGCAGATGATCCCTAACCATTTCTTGGGGACACTGAGAAGAGATGTTAGTGGTGTTAAGGTTTCCGGAGACAGTTTTTTTTTTTTTGTGAGGAAGAGCAGCCCTGAGCTAACATCCATGCTAATCCTCCTCTTTTTGCTGAGGAAGACCGGCTCTGAGCTAACATCTATTGCCAACCCTCCTCCTTTTTTTCCCCCCAAAGCCCCAGGAGATAGTTGTATGTTGTAGTTGCACATCCTTCTAGTTGCTGTATGTGGGATGCGTCCTGGCCCCAGGGATCTGAACCCGCCCCAGTAGCGTGCGCGCACTTAACCACTAAGCCACGGGTCGGCCCGGGAGACAGTTTTAACGCTGACGCCCGATAACCGTTTGCCCCCGGCGAGGCGGTAACCACCGTGCCCCGATTCTCCGCGGAGTTTCCTCCCCGACGACACCCCCAAGAGGCACGCCTGGAGGAGGAGTTGGGCGCCGCGCGTTTGGGGACGTGGAAGCAGACTGCTCCTGGGTAAACTCGCGCCACCTGATTTAATTATCTGCAGCCTCCGGGATTACCTTGAGATGCTTATTTCTGAGAGAATAAAAACGGAAACGATTAAGGACCAACTATTCAGAAGACAGACAGAGGCGCAGGCGCGTTGGGACAGGAAGGCGGGCGCTCAACGACCCCAGCGGCTTCGGCTCCATGTCCCGGCTCGTCCCGGTTTCCATCCCCGGGGCCAGAGCGGCGGGAGCTCGCGAACCCCCCGGGCTGTTAGGCCCTCTTAGGTGATTTTCCACTCGGGACCGGATTCAGAGTGCGGCCTGGGGATCCCACCCACCAACTGTCTACAGGGGCGGCCTCGCGAGCCCCTCACGCAAGCCCCAGGGTCGGCCCGAGCCCGCCGAGAGTCCCGAGCTGGGCAAGCCTGAGTGTGGCTCCTCGGAGGCCGGGCGTCCGAGGTGGGGGCCGCTCAGGGTCACTCCTCCTCCCTCCCCGCCCCAGGACGCTCCGAGCCCAAGGGAGCCGCGGGAACGCGTCCCCCAGGACACTACCTTCCAGGTGCCCAGGCCCACGATGGGCATCTTGGCGCCGGTGTAAAGCAGCACGTGCCTGGCCATCACAGCAAAGCTCCACAGACCCCAGCCCGAGAACCAGGCCCCGGGGGTGGCTGCGCGGACCTTTAAATACCCCGTGCGCCCCGCAGAACGTATGATAGGCGCGCTGCTACGCAAAGGCAGCTTCTGATTGGTCGGTCCGCGCCGGGGCTGCTGCTGCCGCAGCCTGCCCTGGGGCTCGGCGAGGCTGCTTCCCCCGCTAGGTCCTAGCGGGACCGGATTTTTTCCGCTCTGCTTGCTAGCCCTCGCCCCGCCCGGCAGAAGGGACCTAGCCAACCGCTGTGGCGCATAGAAAGCGAATGCTATAGCAAAAGTCTCAGACATCCTGTAAACAGCCTGGGAAAGAATTTTGGTTTCATTTTTTTTTAAAGAGCCCAGAAGGGTACGTTTGTCTATTGTCCAAGCCCAGTATCATGCTCTTTGGGAATTTGACAAATGTCTGGTCCTGAATTTGTATGAATCATATTGACTACAGGTATAGTTTAGCGTACTTTGCTTAGAAGGGTACATGACAGAGAAATGGCTTGCAATCGTGTTGCAGAACACCTTCTCAAGATTTGGGTTTGCCCAGCCTGTGTGTGGCCTCCTAGAGCTATCTTCACACCCCAACCTGGGTGTGAGCTGTGTCTGTACACACTGGGTGTGGTTCAGCAGACATTCCTCCAAACGCCGGCATCTCTGCAGAGTACGAAGCCTCGATGAGCTTGATCCAAAACACTGTTGGGGAAGAGAGAGAATCCCCCTCCAACCTTTCCCTTAAGGTTCTTATGGCTGGCCAAAGAATTAAAAGACAGGTTAGCAGGAGAAAATAATACCAAGTTTAACATGTATACATGGGAGAAACCAGGGAAACTGAGTTTCTCAACAAAATGGCAGAGATTCTCATCTTAAATACTATCTTCAGCTAAAGACAAAGGAGGATGTTGGGGGTGGGGGGTTTGAATTTCAGAGGGGAAGAAGACAATTCACATGAAGAGGGAAATGTAAATGTTTGTCAGACAGTTCTTTGCAGGGCCACCTATAGAGAATGTGACTGGAGAGACAGAAATCACAGTAATCAAGAGTATGTAGATTTAAGTCCTCTCCTTCCGTACTGGTAAGAGTTTCTACAGATAAGTCCATCCCCCCCCTTCCCAGTACACAGAGAGAGATACCTTTACAAATGTAAATACTTGGTATACAGAACTTTGAAAAGAATGGGCTTAGTGAAGACCCTGCCAATCTGTCACTTTTAGGCGTAAGTTTGGGGGAAGGTTAAAGTTCCTTTTGGAAAAAATAAGGTAAAGAGACATATTTCAGGGTGGCCAATTTTTGATCTCCCACAACACACAGAAAACTTTCAGTCTTTCAAAAGCAAGACTCTATCAAAGCGGCAAGTTTCAATCTGGTGACTTAGCAAAACTCTCTAGAAGAAGAAGAGTGAATAAGCAGAAACCCACAAAAGAAAAGTTAGCTTTAATATTGTAACTTCAAGTATTTCAAGTTAGGAGGTGCTAAATAATAAATTCATCAGCCCTAATTGGCAGGGAAGAAGACACATTATTTTCCAAGATAACCAAAGGAAAGTTGCTGGATGAACTTTGAAGACAATTTTGGTTTCTTTCCAACAACCTCTCTCCGTGATGCTCTATCCTACCCCAAGCCTGCTCTTTCTGCTCCATGACCCTCCAATCTTTCTCCTACTTATGCAAGATTGGGAACTACATCTGCTGAGTAATGACTCAGGAACCAGACTTCTCTAAACTCTATTCTGGTGATTTTCCATTTAATGATTTCTAACAAGTGCCCCCTAGGTAAAATTTATAGACAACAGAGGAGCCCAGGTATTTTTCCATTTGACTTTTACAAAAACTGTTGTTAGTAGGCAAATTCTGATACTATTTGTCCCCAAATAATAGAATTTTAATTTGACCCTAAAGCTGGGAACTTGATTTGTAGTGAAACAGCAGGAACCTGGCACTCTTCATTCATAACACCCCTGTTGACATAGAGGTTGCTGTCCACAGGGCTAGGTTCTTTGGAAAAGATTATACCTTGAGTGACTAGGTTGGTATACACAGAAGGGTCATCTGTTAGGGACATGGACTCAGTATGAAGGGCTTTGTTGTTGTTTCTATAATGACTGAGTATAGAAGATGACTGCATAAAGGTGTAACTGTCTAAAAATGGAGTATTCTGACTAGGCTATGCAAATGTGAGAAGTCAGACCTGTGGAATTTAATTAATTTAACTATAGTACAGTAGTACTATAGTTAAAAAATACTATTGCGATAGTCTCCTGACTGCCCCGTTGCCTCTGTAATCCCTGTAAGATGCCATTGTGCACGTATCGAAATTATGCTTAAAAAAACCTTCAATGGAATCCTTCTGAGAAACGTTCTAGCACTTCATATCAAGGGCAATAAAAATCTTAGTATACTCTGATGCAGTAATCCTGTCAAGAGAACCAGTGATCTCATCTGAGGAAATTTAGAAGGAAAACACACACACACACACACACACACACACACACACACACACAATAAGTATAGGGCTGGGACTAGGGTGAGGAAAGTGAGGGACCTAGGTGCAAAATTCCGTGCCTGAATGTGGGCACCTCCTTAAATTTTACACTCTAGGCACTTCACTTGCCTCACCCAATGTCTATTGAGCTGACCATGTGCCTGGCACTATTCTACAAGCATTATATGCATTAAATCATTTAATCTTCATAACTGCTCTTTGCAATGGGTACTATTATTCATCTGTTTTACATGTGAGGAAACTGAGGTACAGAGAAGAGATGTAAATTGCTAAAGCCTCGTAGCGAGTAAGCAGCATGGTCAAGATTTAAACCCGAGGAGTTTGACTATAGCACCCAAATTCTTAACCACTATTCTGGTGGCTTTCAAATTATTTTACTGTGACTCACAGTAAGAAAGATGTTACATGTATGTACATATAACAGAAACAAAAGACCTAGAAAACAATTCTCCTCCTTATTGTATGTGGCATACTCTGATTTTTCATATTCTGGGTTTGTTTGATTTTTAGTACTGATTTCGATCATAATTCACTCCATGATAAGTGATTTTGTGATCTGCTAATGGGTCATGGCATGAAGTTTGAAAAACTCTGCCCTCCATCCACTCTGTGGCCTTGCCACTGCTCATCTCAAGTGGCAGGAACACTATGACAACCACACCAGGGACATGACAATAGCTCCGAGAGAAATCACAAGGTGAGCATTCCTATCAGGCCACAGAGACGTCTTTTTCCCCACCTCTGCCAACTCTATCCTTCCGTACCCTTGGCCAAGCAGTCATAATCTGGGAATGAGACCACCTGAGACTGGTCCTTTGGAAGCAGGGAGAGGCTGCAAGGCAAAAGAGACACAGTGTGGAAGCCATAGGAAGAGGACAGAGGCCTCAGCCCCTGCTGTGGAGTGGGATTGGCCTTAAAAACTCAGGGAATTCGTCTGCTGGGGAGCTGGCTCCAGTGCATCAATATTTACTCATGTTTGTTTGCAAGATGACGTTTAGATGGCAAACATTGTTGAGAGAACTGTCAATATTAACCTTCCTCATAGATACAGGAGCATTACAAAAAAAGAGAAAAACACTTTGTCGCTTTTAGCACAGTTGTTCAATAAATTCTTGTGAATAATAACATCCATTATTTTCTGGCCACCTTCCATGTGTCAGGCTTGATTCTGATCTCAAATACATTACCTGACTTGATCCTTACAACCTCCTAGCAAAGACAACTGACTCTGTTCCTTTCCTGTTTTTCAGATTGAAGAAACTGAGGTTTGGTAATATTAATTTACCCAAGACCAAGAAGTTAGTATGTGGCCTTCCTTTAAAATTTCAATATTTTGTTCATCATGGATTTTTTTTGCATTAATTTAGACTTTTTAAAATATTGCATTAAAATATAATTTATCTTGATTACCGAGAATTTTGGCACCCCCCCCAACCCCCCATGAAATCCTACATTGAGGCAAAAGCCTCATACCTCACACGGCCAAAAAGCATCAAAATAAAAACAAATCAACCCACAGGGGTGGAGTTATTCACGCAGAGCAATCATTATCCACACTGCCATAATTTGTGACTGCCATGCGTTTAACAACACACACACAGGAGACTGTGTACGAGCGTCTGTGTGCTTCTGTGCAATCCCCAGCCCCTGCGGCAGTAACTCCACCCCTTCACCTGCCAGTAGAGAAAGCCTACGAGAAAGCAAGTGAGTGAGTGGGGCGTTTTAACAGAGATAACTTTGAGGCCACTTTAATTTGTAAGAAATGCCTAAGGCATTTATGGATTCTTTTTTTTTGGGGGGAGGAAGATTAGCCCTGAGCTAACATCTGTTGCCAATTCTCCTCTTTTTGCTGAGGAAGATTGGCCCTGGGCTAACATCTGTGCTCATCTTCCTCTACTTTATATGTGGGACACCTCACAGCATGGCTTGATAAGTGGTGCACAGGTCTGCACCTGGGATCCAAACCTGCGAACCCTGGGCTGCTGAAGCAGAGCTCACGAAGTTAACCACTACGCCACCTGGCCAGCCCCATATGGATTCTTTATTACTAGCAACCAATGACTGTGACACCCCTCACAGCTGTTGGGGCACAGTGAGGTGTGGTGGCTTTGTAGCTGAGAACCTCAGATGCCTGTGTCATCTTCTTTCTGAGTGAGGGAACTTAAGATGTTTGGTGGGAAGACAGGAGATTTCCTCATATGTCACTGTGGGGGAATGGGCCTTGTAATACAAATAAGTAAGTCTCCTGCACTCTAATTTAGGACTAGGTTGCTGGTGGGGTTGAGGGGTCTCTTATTTATCTGGGGTCCTGCTTTTGGTGGCAGCAGGGTGGGTGGAGGTTAGTGACCCTACAGAATTGCTAACACAGGTTCTGGTATTTTTAAGCAGGTCACGGAGCATCTTGTCATTCCCCATCAGCATGGACTTGAATGAGGTGATCGATATTTTCCTGGCTGCCAGCTCCTGTTTCATCCTCAATAGCCAGACTCATGTCTTTACTGAGAAAATCTACAGAAGGAAAGATCTCTGTGCACAGGCAGAGAGCAT